TTTTTTCATTTTCATGGAGCTGTGAGTTTGAACATATAAAGGGGAAAGCTGGTCGAGAAGTAGTGGAATGGAAGCTTTTTTACTTTTGGAGAATTTTTTTGAATTTGGTTGCCGCGGATCAAAACCGTTGCACAACGGTTATAATCTTCGTAGGAGGGTATTTAATCTTTTAATATTCTCAAATGAGTTCTCCCCATTTCAAAAGGAAAAAAAAGTTTGTTTAAAAAGAAAAAAAAAATAGTTAGCTCCTTGATACTAAGCAACAATCTCGTACCCACACTATTAAATATTTGATAATTAGAAGAAAAATATAACAACATAAATTTTTTATAAAAGTCAATGAGATTGTCAATTTTTTAATGACGACAAAATTTGGTTCTAGCGATTATGAGTCAAATATTTTCTAAAAAAAATGGAAAATTTTGGTTCTCTCACGTTAAAGAGTAACTTTCTCCTTGACCCCATTAAATATTTCGACAGAAATGCAAAAAATAAATAAATAAATAAGGACTTGTCAAATATTTAATGATTTTAAGGAGAAAGTTACTCCTCTTAGCTTTGTAGCGAAGTTTTTTCTAAAACAATTTATGTTTAGTTTATAACCACCCCATTTTTTTTTTAAATTATGCTGGTTTTTTTTCCCAAATTCTTTGATGTATTTCTACATTTTCTTAAAAACAATATTTACATTCTTAGTAAAATTTTAAAATCAGAAACAAATTTTGAAAACTATTTCAAAATATAACCGTGAAAATTAATGTTTAAAAACTTAATTTTTAAAACAAAAAAACCAAAAACAAAATGATTACCGAACCGAATTAGGTATCATTATTTAATTTAATTGTTAATTTATTAAACCGGGCCATGTATGTCTGAAAAGGTAATGGTGTGCTAGTTTTGGGCTGTTGGGTGTTTGAAATAAAAGGTTTAAACAAATGAAAGTTAAATTTGAAATTGGGGCTCCACATTTTCATTAAAAAGTTATGAATGGAACTATAGCTGGAAAAGCTTTATTTTGTTCCATTCAGTACCTGGATCGGATGGAAGGGATTATGGTATAAGTGAAACTATGATCTACAGAAGAAAAAATAAAAATAAAAATAAAAAACCATTCGACCTTTTCATTTTATTTGGTTTGGTTCGATTTGATTCTATTAGATGTTATAATCTGAAATAAGGCAAATTCAATCAAGTATGATGCTCCCTTTAATTTTGCCGAGTCATGTTATTACAATGGGTGAGATATTGACATTTATTTGAATAAATAATATTTTTAAACTTAGAATCTTTAATTAAAATTTAAGTTCATATTATACGTATGGTAAAGTTAGACCCATTATTAAATCTAAAATTAAAAAACAATAAATCAAATTGATTGCTCCTGTTCAAGCCAATTTTCATAATAATTAGGTTTTGTTTTGTTTGCACATATAGAACTATCCCAATTGGATTTTTTATTTGGTCAAAAATCAAAACCAACTGAATTGTGAATCAATTTTTTTTCCATTAAAATATTTGCCAATTATATGTGTATAAGTGCAACGCATTAATAATTTGTCTACCTACTAATTGATATACATTTTTAATATTTATAATTCTATTTCTACACTATTTAATCGTTACTACTTTATCTTTAAAATTCTTCCTACTTAGAACACATCTTTCAAATTTTCGAAAAGAACTGTTCAAGAAAGCAGTAGAAAGCAGATATTGTTGATGAATGGTGGTGCCAAAAGGGATCAAATGGGCCTACCGCCATGAAGCCCAACCCAAAAGAACCCATGGGTTCTATAGAGGCCCTAATCTGAGCCCAAACCCATTTTATGAGCCCGCTCTTTTTTTACGAGTATCAAGAACCGAAACGTTGTCTGATTTTACTAAACATTTGAGGAAAACTTGTCCGACTCCTAATTTTGTCTATTTTTTGCCCAAAGTTTTTAGTCAATAGTTTTTTGTTTTCTGTTTTTAAAAAATAAAAACCATATATGTTTGATAACCATTTTTAGTTTTTTGTTTTTAAAAAGTTAGAAAATTGAAAATACCGAGAGAAAATGTTATGTAGAGTAGAGATGACAATGGTGTGGGTGTGAGTGAGGATGCTCTCCATCATTCTCGTGCTCGTGAAAATTTTTAGTCTCCGTCTCCACCTCGTTCTTGGGTCCAAGAGATGTTCTCGAGAAAAGTTATCAGTTTTATAATTGTTTTAGAATTATTTTTAGAATTGAAGTATAAAAAAGTGTTATAAATATATATTAATTATTTAAAAAGTAGAATCGAGGACGGGGACGGGTCGGGACATGCGTTTCCTATTGGAAGATAAATTTTAGAAAGATAAAGAAAAAAAATTAGAAAAAAAAATAGTAAAATAAAAGTTAAAGACAAAAGAAAAAAATTGTAAAGAAAAAAAATAAAGTCGAGAGGAAAAGATATGTTAAAGAAAAAAAAAGAAATTTTAAATAAAGAGAAAAATTATAGTGGAAACAAGTTTAGAGATAAAAACAAGATTCGAAATATAATTTTTAGAGGAGATAAATAAAAGTTACCGTGAAAGAAAATTGAACAAGAAAATAAAATATAATTTTTAGAAAAAAAAATAGATTACGAAGAGAAAGAAAAGTTATAAAAGATGAAATTTTAGAGAGAAAAAAAGTTAGGAAAAATATTAAATTTTTAGGGAGAAAAACGACGCTGGTTTGTTAGGAAAAGGAAAAAAACAAAAAAAATTGGAGAGAGATAAACAATAATAAATATTCAAAATATAAAAATTTTAGAAGGAGAAAAATAAAGTTTATACAAAGAAATTCATAAATAAAAAAATTTTAGAGAGAGAAATTAATTTGTTAGACATAAATATGAGAAAGAAAGAAAAGGTTGAGTATTAGAAGAAAA